GTATGCGATAGGAAGCTGATTGTCACTGAACTCTACCTCTTTCAAATCACTTGCCAGATCAGATGGAGGGAAACCCTACATTACCCTGTTGCTACTTGCGGTGATTTGTGCAGTGATTTGTACAATCTGTGTAGCCTCAGTTTTGGACTTGGAAAGTAAATCCTATGTTCTTCAAAGCAAGCTGATGACAGCCTCAGTTTTTGTTAGTAAATTAAGCCCATAATCTACATAGAAGCCATGCCACGCAAAATGCTAACTGTTATGCTCAACATGGAACTCACCTTCTTGAACGTACTGGGGCAGACCATTGATAGACACTTTAGGAGAGGGGCTGTTGCAGAAGATGTGGACTCTCATACAATATTCTATAATGTCTTTGGAGAGGTCATTGTCCACAAACCAAACAAATTGTAAGTAGTTCCTGTCCTCCTTTTGGATTAGAGAACTGTAACACATCTGCTCAATTTCTGCTGGGAAAAGGCAATTGATTCTTTTTTGAAGCAGATCAGAACTAAGAAGAGTTTATTATTGAAATCAGGTCCAGTTCACATCCGAGAGAGTTCATCCTCCCCACCGTGCTCCGACAGAGCGTCTACGTCTGCTGCCCAAGGTGCTAGCCCAGTGTGAAACACTGTGGGATGCCTTTTACTATTGTATTCTGAGCACTGGGGTTTGAATGTGCAGTGTGGGAGATCAACACATATCTCAAACATAATTCTCCTTCAAGAAGTTATTCCCAACCTTCTATGGACTTCTCACTAAATCCTCAACATTTGCGCAGAGGGTGTGTTTTTTTGTACAGAAAACACACTATATTGCAGTCATTGGATTTGAGAAAAGTTTATTATTTTTTTAGATTGTTCCAGAGATAACTTCAGTCTTGTCCATTAAAGCCTCGCTATGTTTGTTTGACCTCCAACCTGTCCTCTCAGCCTTCAGATTAATATCCTCGAGTGTTGAAAGTGAAACATTGCCTGATCTGAACACTTCTGTATTGACCGATGAACTCCACAAAGTTGACAAATGGTGGATATGAAACCTGATGTCTTTCCTTGTATCCGGATCGTTCTTATGCCCATTTGCAGATAAAGAGGAGCTTTCGCAGGAACGGATTGATAACTCTTGCTGTGTTAAGGCCACAACTGAAACCTTTCCTATGCCTTGAAGCTGCTAAATTTTTCTTGATTAATTTGATCATGAACCACAAAAGAGATTATTTAGCAGATCCATCCTGTTGATAGACACTCTTATAAACAAGGTCTAATGTGTAAGTGAGTTCAAAACAGCTCCTGCGTCAGACTTTCTTGAAATAATAAGCGCACAGACACAGGTTTTTTCTCTATGAGCTTGATGTATGCCCATACACATTGGTATTGCTAGACCCATCACTACCACAGATAAGTACTTTGTGTAAAGGAATCAGCATTTTATGCCCTTTTTTCCCACATGTTCCTGAGCTGCTTAGTAAGGAACTCTATGGATTCTATGAGTTAATATATTGGTCATTTAATTACTTAAATCAGTTTATTCACATGTTAGATGTCTGATGGTGAACGCTGATTTGCACTGAATGACTGGATACTCTAGGGATTTTTGTTATTATTTATTCTATCCTCCATTTTTTGATTTAATAAAGGAGAGACAATTAAACCTTAATTAAACCTCTACCAATGTAAGTTATTTCGTAAATGTATTATTTAATGTGATCAAATGTTGACATGAGTGATATATTGTCTATCTTCCCTTTGCTTTTAGGTGTTCACATCCTACAGTCTTTCAGTGGCTGTGAGATAGATTACTATAAAAATCAGTCTTCTAGTTTCACGCGGGTTGGATTTGATGGAGAAGACTTTCTGACACTGGACATGAATAGCTTGGTTTGGATTCCTCAAAATAACCGAGCTGCCTCAATAAAACACAAATGGGACCTTAAGACAGAATGGACAAAATCAATTCATTACTATTATACCATATATTGCCCGATATTGCTGAGTGAGTTACTAAAGGTTTCCAAGATGTCACTTCAGAAAACAGGTATATTCCAGTTTTTTTTATGTGCTTATGTTTTATTGGACAAATGCAAAAATCTTTAATATTCCTAGGTAAATTATAATGTTTATATAGATATTGTGTTTTGGAAAATAAAACATAATATTTGAGCTAATTTCAAACCAAACACCTACATCTAAGTAGAAAAGGTTTTCTGGGGATACATTTTATGGTCAAATGACAAATGTATTAAAGCAGCACTAAAAAAATTTCAATTTTGGTTGATTTTGTCTCCTCCCAGTAGGATACAAAAACTTTGGTATTTTGCCTGAAGGAAGTCAACATTTTCACATGAGCACAAGTGTGGTACAGACCATAGCAAGAAAGTGATACAGACCGTCCTGTGCAACAACAGATGTGTCACTAGACTAGTTCTAAGCTGACGTATAATCACAAAACTTATGAAAATATTTTATAAAGATTGAAAAGTTACATTTTGATGATAACATTTAACAGCAAATAACTATTTTTTCTTTTAGTAAAATTGCATATATTGAGAATAAACATTGCACAAAATTGTTATTAATAGTTTATTTTTTTTAACACCGTAATGCAATACCACTTCCAGGCAGCCTGTGGCCCACAGATGTCAGTACATGATAGAAACACGCATGGAGGAGTCAAATTGGGACTACAGCCTTCAGTGAAAGAACCACAAATGTTGTGAACAACAGAATCTTTCCATTATAAAAACCAAAACCTTTTAGGTTTTGTACCTTTGCATGTGTTTCACAGAGTACATGTGAATACTTTTTGTTTGTTTGTTTAACTCCCTGAGGTGGTCTGTGCCTACATGCCCTGGCATACTAGGAATGTGGGAGTCTGTATACTTTCTAAGCTCCATATATACTTTGCTATGCTTAGACACTTATGGTGATTGCTGAAACACTTCCACATTGGCTAAAGTGTCCTTTGATTTGATTACTTTGGATGGAACCTTGAGGAGGAGTTAATCTTCAAGATCCATCAAGGAAAAACTACTTGGGTTTCATTCTTTCATTTCTCGAAGAATAAAACAGATAGGAATATGCAGGTTGCCATTTTTGCAGTGACCATTTTGCCTCAAACTTCAAGCTTCTGATATTGCACTAAAATGGCCACATGACAAACAGGGAGGAGCTTTTGCCCTGAGCAGTCACATCTGTTTTAATTAACAATAAAGGCAAACAAATGAGAGGAAGCTGCCACAGGGAATGAGATGGAATAAAAAGGAAAAGCAAACCAGCGGGACATACATTTGAATGCCAGTTCAGTAAAAGTTCAAAAAAATCCACTGGACTTGGTTTCCAAGATTTGAAGACGTTTCGCCACCTCTCCAGGAAGCTTTCTCAGGAGAGAAATCTATTATACTATCACTGAAGTAGAAGGCATTGCTATTCAATTTGAAATGTATTCTGTGGTTAGTTTTCCCATCTTTAAAAAAGTACAATAATAGATTTTGCACATTAATTGAAACATAAACACTTTCGTAATTGTAAAAAATGTATACTCAGTTATGAAAAGATTTCTCGTGCAACCACTTTTGTGACTATAGGCAAGGAAATTATCACATGTAATGCCAGGATTTGCATCAATGTACTATACTCGTAAGGTAAAACTGTCCAGTAAAGTCATTGTGTTCTTACTATTTATAATAACCAAAGTAAATCCTAAGTTTTTTAATTGAAAACAACAGTCATATAAATTTGGCTGACATTGTATACAATGTGTAAATAAATAATACCCCTAATAAATCAATAAAATTGATGTGAGATCCTAGTTAATGAAGCTTATTTAAAACAATGGATAAAGCATAAGTTGACATGCAGAAACTTAAACCATTATGTTTACTTTAATTGATCGTAATTCTCCAATCCTTCTTGTTTCATTGTCTCCATTACAGTCCTTCCTACAGTGTCTCTCCTCCAGAAGAACCCCTCCTCTCCAGTGAGCTGTCATGCTACAGGTTTCTACCCAGAGAGCGCTGTGATGTTCTGGAGGAGGGGTGAGGAGGAGATTCATGAAGGTGTAGAACATAGAGACATCCTCCCAAACCATGATGAAACATTCCAGATGGAGACAGTACTGGATGTCTCATTAATTCCTCTGGAAGATTGGGGGAAATATGACTGTGTCTTTCAGCTCTATGGTGTCAGCAACGACATCATCACCCCTCTGGATAAGACAATAATCAAGACCAATCAAAGTAAGATAGTTATCGAAAAATAAAGATGTCTTGTTTTTAATCTTTAAGGATTTTTGGATTTGTCTTTATATTTAGCGAAAGAATTAAAACATTGTTTTGGTTTTTCATATAATAATGGTAATGCTGCAAATTTGTTCCTTTAGATAGGACATTGAAAACATTTAGAACAGTTCTGGGTCTAAATGTAACAAAAATATCTAGATATTAAAATCTTAGCTAAAAACAAGCAATAAATGAACTCCTCTGTTTTTTCTCTCTTTTCCTATTTATGAAATATAAACTCTAGTATTTTGTTCTTTACAGAGGAGTCCAATAGCACAGATGCCTCTATCGCTGCTTCATTGGTGTTTGTTGTTCTCATCATCATAGCAGTCATTATATACATTTATTTCAGGAAGAAAGGTAAGAAAAGACATTAAAAAATGTGTATTTTACAAATAAAAAACTAAAATGACTCCTTTAAAAGTAAAGCGTAACTGTTGCTGTTGGTTATTTTTTGTTTTCACATTCTTCTTGTTTTGTATAATTGTAGTTAGCTTGTCAGATTATCTTAAATTGCCAAAAACTAATTTTGTTGTCGTAAACTTAGCATTATCTTTCTAACCCTACAGATTCTCACAACAGCACTGAGCTAACAGCGAGTCTGAATCAAGAAACCTGATGTATAACCTGAGTTTTGCCTCAAAAAAATATCCATATAAAATGTTATTAAAGCTATAGTGGTAAATAATATATTGGTCAGACTGCAGCGAGATGATCAGCTCCCCCACTGCTTCTCCCCTCCAACAATGCGGAGGCCTTCATGGTTCATGGTACAAAATGCCTACCTGCATCACCTATTTTGTCGAGCGATTACAAGGTCTGTTTATGATATAATTTTATAAAAAGTATTTCATCAGTATTTGTAGCATATAGATTTTATACAGCCCTAATTTGTCACAGTTGAACGTGTGGATGATCTGTACAGTCAGTATTCACTCTTAGCTGCCGTAGCGCAAAGATGTGAGACCTGCCCCTATGTAATAATAAATAGCAATTTTAAGGTAAACCAAACGATAAAATAAAGAGCCTTTCAGTTTGTAGATGATGATAAATTACATACATATTTATAATATATAAAAATTCTGTCAGTAAATCCCTGAAATTGTTACACACTGGAGCTCTAAGGCAACACTATGTGACTTTGACTCAAGTACTGACATAATTTAAGATAGATTAAAATAAGATAAAATAAGATCTTGTATCCAATAAAAACCTGCTGATTGTATTGAGTTATTGACTTCTGGGCACACTCCTCTTGGATGAGATTGGTTGCATTTTGTTGTTGACTCAACAGCGTCTCACTAAGCATGCATGCAGCAACAGTGGAGAAGAAAAACTCCTGTTTAATGGCAACTCCTTAAATTAAGTCTTCTGTTAAGAGGATTGGTTAGGAAATATATACTATATAGCCATTTAGTCAAAATGCCATTGTAGCAGAATCAATTAATCTGGGATCGACTTCATGGTCTCTTAATGCTAAGTGCCTGTTGGCTTTTGTGAAATGGATAATGCCAGAATGCTTAGTCCCTACTGAGTCCAGCCTAGATTAATTTCTTATGCAGAATTTATTAATTCTACTTTTGTGAAACAGTCACCAGGTTTACTTAAGCCATGTATGCATTTCCTGTTTCTTAGTTATGGTGAGATGAAGCCTCATGAGAAATTGAGCCTTTTGGGCAAATTGCTCCAACGATCCCCACAGTTCATGAAGCTTCATGTGAACATGTCACCACCTATTGGTGGAGTGTATAACTACAGTTAGTAATATAATCTGTGATTTTGTTGCAATTGTTTTTCTTGATTTTGAAGTTCCATTGAAATTGTTAATTATTTGTGTATATAATATATATTTTGTAAGGTTTGTAAATCTTACAGAAGTTTGTTAATCATTACATTTTTCTGTTAATCATTAAATTGTTAATGATTAGGTTTGTTAATCATTAAATTGTTAATGATTTGTGTGTATAGTATATATTTTGTAAGGTTGTGTGTAAATGTTTTAGAAGAGAACAATATTTCAAGGCACTTTGTTTTTCTGTAATTTTAGTGAAATAAGCTCGAGTGAAAGTGTTTGTGAAAGTGTGCAAATTGGGCAATGATGAACAAAATGAAAGGTGTTAGTCATTTTTATTAAAGATAACAGTTTTTCCCATAGTTTTTGTTTTTTTTTGTGGTTGGAAGTTATGTGTCCAACCAATCTTTTGGTTAAACCAACCAATCTAACTTGGCAGTGTTTTTACCCAATCTATATTGGTAAAATGGCAAACCAATACAAACTAGTCGCATTGGCCAAAATACTGGTTAAGTAGCATAGCAACTTTTAAAAGTTTAAACCAGGTCTTGAACCATTAACCTTTGGACTGAGAGGAAAAGACTTACAACATATGTCACTTGCAATGATGCAAGATGGTACTCTGTCATGATTCTGTCTTTTTGTTGTCTCTGTTTAAGTTTTATTTTGAGTTTTAAGTTACACTTTGATTTATGTCATTCTGTGTTTTCTAGGTAACAAGCTTTGTTTCTATTTTGTGGAACTGCTAGTTTTTTTTTTTTTTTTTGTATTTGAGTTCTTATTTATATCTTGTTTAGTGTATGTTACCCCCTTGTGTCAGTCTCTTTTCCCCTAACTTCCTTCCTGGTCAGGGTTAGGCCATAGGAATGAATGTAATATCACTAGAAGTCTATGGAAATTCTCCATAAGGAGTGTTTGTGTGTATACTTGTTTATGTTACATTTTTATGACAGTTTTTGGTGTATTTACTAAGCTTCCGAGGACCAACAGTACTTGTGGGACCAAAGGCTGGTCCTAATGGGTGGACCCCTGTTTTTATGTCACGGAATCCGTTTAGAGATATGGTGTGAATTATAATTAGGTTAGGGCTTGGGATATAGTAGTTATGGTTAGGGTTAGGGTAAACTGAAATTTATGTGAGTCAATTTAAAATCTTAATATGGATAGAAATACAAATCTATGGGTCTCTGTCTTATGTTCAAACTGTCTATCTGTCTTACTATCTAGGCAAGGCAAGGCAAGGCAAATTTATTTGTATAGCACAATTCAGTACAAAGACAATGCAAAGTGCTTTACATGATTAAAATACGGGAAGATAAAACTGAATCAAAGCAAGTAGGAAAAAATAAAAAATGAATAAAATAAAATAAAGAATCTATCTGTCTGTCTGTCTGTCTGTCTAACTATCTATCTGTCTGTCTGTCTGGCGAATTATCTATCAGTCTACTGTAGAGATAAAGACCTCTGATATTATGTTTTTTTATTGTGTTTCCACAGCAGCTGTTTAGCTACAAGCTATGGAGTATTTAATAAATAATGCCCCTCTAATTTTATGGTTAAAGAAAAATCGAAGACCTACAGAGGAGTTTCTGAAGGGATGACCTTTTCCTAAATTTTTTTTTTGTTTGTTTTTTTTTTTGTTAATAGTTTGGCAAGTTAATAAAAAAAATTTGACAGTAAGATTGCAGGAATACTATTTAAAATACTATGTTTACTTTTACCACTAGATGGCAGTCTTATTCAAACTACTGCATCTTGTCATTTTAAAGATGGTGGCGTTTTTTGTTGTAGTTTTGTTGTTTCAAATTAATATAACATTTTTTTCTATCAGAGATATGAAGCTTTATAGGGACTTACAGGTTCTTGTGGGGACCAACGACTGGGCCCCAGGATAAGTTATCTTTTTGAATAGGAGGTTAGGTTAAAGACTAAGGTGTTAATTGACTTTAAATTAGGTTAGGTTTAGTCATGTGTTAATGGTTATGCTTAGGGTAAGGTCGGGGTTAGCCAATAGTAATGAATATGACTAGAAGTCAATGGAAAACCTTCATAAGGAGTGTTTGTGTGTATACTTGGTTATGTTACATTTTTAGGACAGTTTTTGGTGTATTTACTAACCTTCTGAGGACCAACAGTCCTTGGGGGACCAAAGGCTGGTCCTAATGGGTGGACCCCAGTTTAAATCTCAGAGAATCCGTTTAGAGATATGGTGTGAATTAATATTAGGTTAGGGTTTGGGATATAGTAGTAATAGTTAGTGTTAGGGTAAACTGAAATGAATGTGAGTAAATTTGCAATCTTAAAATGGATAGAAATACAATTTTTTGGGTTTGTGTCCCGTGCATTCTATCTATCTGTCTTTTTGTCTGTCTCTCTGTCTAGCTATATCTGTCTGTCGCAGAGATAACAGTCATTGGATCTTTTCGAATTCATGGGCTCTGTCCTCCGAAGGCCAGTTTCGAAGGCCAAATACGTCATTGTGCGGCGCCGAGGTCTGGTCGGATTCCAAGACTCCTCATTATGCGGCCTTCAAATGCGTCCTCCTTTTTGCCCTATTTGAAGGACGGGTCCGATGTATCCTATCTATCCTTGGTTTTCCCAGGATTCAATCCAAGACCAAGCAAGCCGGCTGCTTCGTGATCAGAGGGAAAAGGTACTTGGCACGGAACAGGGATATTGGAAGTTCAGTTTAATATAATCCAAGTATGAATAGTTCCATGAACTGTTCTGTCTGAAATGAATGAAAATAGTTGTTTTAATGGTTATTAATTCAGATATTTGGGGTTAATGTTTGATTTATTGAAAGGTTTTATCTGTCACTGTGTAAATGGGTTTGGCTGTAAAGGACAGATTCTATAATATATCTACAGTGTGGGGACTATAAATCTGATAGGATTTTTATTTTTTTCAATTGCTATTACTATGCTATTGCTATTACAATGAAGAAAATTTATAGCAGCAAAAAGATTATTGAAGAAAAAAATTTTCACACAAATATGGACCTTAGAAAAATGTATAAGAATAAAATAATATTCCGTAAAAGTTTAAAAACAATCAGCTGGACTTAGTTTCTAAAGGAGGTGAACAGCCAGGGGAACAATCCCTCCTTTAACGACGACCCTTCACAATCATAGACAGGTTTCAGGTATTACAGGCTAACAATGGAACCAAATGACCCACTCGTCGGTTTCAATTTGCATGTTTCGAAGCAATACAAGGCTTGTCTATATAAGACTCAAACTCACTGCGGATCCAGACATTTGAATTGAGAAAGCTTCCTGGAGGGGAAGTGAAATGTATTTTATATAAACAATAAAATACTGTACTTTAAAGTGTTTATAAAACTGTGCGTCTGGAGAATAAATAATCAATATACAGCTATGGACATTTTTACAGTAATGGATGTTTGAAAATAGCAGCAACATCAGAGATGTGCAAAATGACAGCAGCATGTTATTTAACCAAGGGCGTAGGTTTGATTTCCACTTTGGTAGGGACACTATTGGTCCTAAGTATCATTAATGTCATTTTACCTATGCAAAAATATGCATACTTTTTTATGCTTGACGTGAGCATCAGAGTGCATTTCGTTTAAAGAGAACAGCAGCATTTCCTGATACATTTATACTAATTTTATAAGCACTACACTCACTACATACAGTTTATCAATGTTTAAAGCATCACTGGCTCTGATCAATATAGACTTAGGATTTTTTTGAAAAGGTTTGCATTTAAACTTACCAGTGACTAAGATAGAAGATAAATATATGCCTATTTAACCAAATACAGTGTAAATATGCCCGTTATATGCCGATTTATCCTGTATTTCTTTTGAAGATATATAATTGTGCAAAGGTAAACAGATGAAACACACTCTTATTTTTAAATGCTCTCTCTGTATCATGAAATAACGCAAAATAACACATTTAAGGGACTGCAGATACATTTATTGTATTTACATTAAGTCGCATCATCTACAAAACACAACACTAAGAATGGGACTAAATTTATACCAATACAAAATCACTTTTAACAATTATTAAAAGAAAATATAACACCATCTTGTCTGTAATGTAATAATAATATTATGTTTTACCACTAGAGGGCAGTCTTATTCAAACTACTGCATCTTGTCATCTTAAAGATGGTGGCGTTTTTGTTGTTATGTTGTTTCGAATTTCTATAATTGATTTTTTCACACCTTTACTTTTATTATACCAAGTCACCTTAGAAACAAGTCTGCCCAGAAATGCCCAGTTAAACTTAATGAAATTTAGATAATATGAAATAGTTTAATGTCTTTTATTCATCACATCTCCAGTCTAACACCAAAGAAACACAGCACGTGTACCAATGAGTTATTCCTCTGTAAGCCTTCTAAAGAGAAATAAAACTAATCCATTGATAAATACTGACCTTGTTCTCCACAAAGGATAACAACTTAATCAGAATCTATTGTTTTCCATAGCTGCTCAATTTTTTAAAAATGTCCTCTAGTTGTTTTTTTGTCTAGGTTTTACTTTCTTTTATAACTATGATATTATAACAAAACTGAAGCTTCAGCACTCAAAGGTCTAAAATTTTCCCTTTTTGTATATGGCCCCAATTAACAATAAATTCACCCATAATGCACATTACAAGCTCCATGGCCACCATGATGTGATTTGTTGTTCTCACTGGAGCATTCACTATTAGAAATGACCAAGTTTTCACAACTTTCAACAGTTTTATATCACAGCAACTTGTATTAATGTTTCCCTGTAAAACCCCAATGAATACCTAGAAAACTACAGTATCCTTGGATTTTACAGCATGTAATTCTTATTTACAGTAAAATTCTGCAGTCAATCGCCCCAGTAATATCACAACAATGTATGTAATATCACAGCAACACAGTAAAAACGGCAAGGTTTTCACAGCATTCAGCTGTATTATTACAGTATTTCACAGTAAAATGCCTTGGAAAGTCACGTTACATAACGGACCTTGGCACTATTTCGAATGGAGTGCGTCATTTCCCTTTTCTCTACTGGGCTGAATGAAGGCAAGCAACATGCATAACTGTTGCAGCACTCATGTTGTTATATGATACAGTTCAGATTATGTTAGCAAGTGCGCGACATTGTTTAATGTTGTCTCACATAGCTTGATAATTCTCAAAGTTATAGTGGAAGATGTTCTTTTTCCTGGTGGATCATCAAAATAAGTGGTCCTCCTAATTGTCAGTCATTCAGGTGATATGTTTGCATAAGGCCGTGTTATCGGCTCATCCCCATTTTCACTAGTGGTGAGTCTGACAGTGGAAAAATTACAAATCTTCCTTTAGAAAATAAGCTTTTACTAACGATGCAAACAGCAACTTTTAAACAGACGTGCACAAAAAGAAGCAGTTTAAACACGGGTAATATGCATTCCCTCTTTGGAGTGGGTGCAGGGCTGTGCATGTGCATTTTTTTTAAGTGGGGAGGCCAGGTCTTTCATAAAATTCGCAAAAATCCTTTACTCTATCTTTAAGTCCAGTCGGTTACTTGTTTATGGACTATGATTCTGCGCAATGCCGTGCACAACACTCTTGCGCATATGCGGCCAAAATTTTTACTTCCATGTTCAGGCCTTCTTACTTTAGCTTCCCTGTAAATACTTTAACATGCTTTTCGCTGTAACAGCTGTATTCTCTGCCAAAATTCTGTGAGCAGGGGGGTATCTGTGGTGAAATTATCTTTGTGAACACTCATTTCAGTGGCAGCGCATGCTGATATGGACTCTCAGGATAGGATAAAATCACCCAAGTGGCCTCAGGCAAACCTTACTTGAGACACCCTGGATAAAAATGGCTAAAAGAAATGTATGGTGAAAATTTATGAGAGGAAGATCCAACAAGTTTGGATCATAAATCTATTAGGGCGTGATATGGAAAATAGCAAAAGTGAACGCCTTGATTAATCCTGCCACCTATAGATAAGTTTATTTTTAAAGGAAACAGTCATATTAACAGGCGCTTCAATCCTGAAAGAGGCTAAAAGAGCAAGAAGTGGACAACAACTCACACCCATGTTGGCACCCTTTTGAGGAAACTCATTGACTTTGAGTGGACATCATAGTTGTTTGCATTAGAGGTAGTTATCAGTTTCAATTTTGAATTGTTGAAATATACAGGTTGTTGAATTCCTCTGTATTCTAAGATTTTTTTTTTTTTTTTTTTTTGTATTAGAAAGTTGAATGTATTGCATTACCATTGCTGTATGTTTAAAATAAATGAATTTTAATAAATATGCCATAGAGCTAACATTGACTTTTCTCACGACTTTTTTGTTGTGGGGAGGAGGGTAA